CAACACAAATAAACAAAACCCTCGGGGATTAACGGAACAAGGGCCAGTGATAAACGGATGAGAAGAGAGACAGGGAATACAACAGGCGGTGAGCGAGGGGACGAGGGAATCAGCGAGGGGAGATGGAAATATGAGGAAGACGAGCAGAAAGGGAATAAGTGGGGGGGAGAAGAGTTTAGACAGGGGATTAAAAGGGGACACGGCTAGGAGAACACCAATGTGAGATGAATATGAAGGGAGAACAGGACAGAGACAGGTTACACATATCAGCATGAAGGGAATAGAAGGGAAGCAGAAAAGCAAAGTTAGGACACTAAGTGTAAACAGAGGTAGAATGAATGAGGGATACTTTAAGGGAGAATACTATGAGAGCAGCAGGGTAGTGAGCGGCAGAAGCTCAGTGTGTTGGGACTTGGCTCGGAAACCGAAGGGTCGCTGGTTCAAACCCTGATCAGACAAAAAGTACAGAGTGGACTGCCGACCCTGCTGAGGTGCTAGGAACTCCTAACTGCTCCCTGGTGCCGTAAAGCATGGCAATATCTTTGTTGTGCCACTTTTACATACAAAGAAAAGCAAGTTTGTATTCAGACCGTATAGGTATGTATCTTTGTTGACGACTGAATTTCCCCTTGTGGGATTATTAAAGTGGCTTTTCTTTCTCCCTAAGGTCATCAATGAATGGAATAAATGATCCAGTACTAAAAAAACTGTTATATTATGCTCCCTTCTCACAGTTTATCAAGATTTCTTTGAATGCAGCTTTCATGTTTTAGTCCGTAGCTGATGGGCCTTGAATTGCTAACTTTAGATCCAAAGTAAATTAACAGATATTTACAGGTTAATGCAATTTGTTACATCCACCGTAAATAGACACATTTCTACAGGTTCACTGAAATTGAATAAAAGTATTGCTCCTATAGTTCACTGTTGAATAACGGTGCAGTGTTTGTCAAACACTGAAAAAGAAAGGGACATCGTTCATCACATGTCATTTGTTAGACGCTTTATCCAAAGCGACTTACATACATTCAGTACTTTGGACAATCCCCACAGGAACAATTTGGGGTGAAGTGTCTTGCCCAGGGACACAACGACATGCTGACATGCAGTGGGACTCGAACTTGCTACCCCCTGATTCGAAGTCCAGCACACTACCACTGAGCCACAGCCGCCCTTTTAAAGACAATATACTATAGTATAGTGGATAGATTAATTCCACCGTTGTAATAATACAACAGTTGGATGTAAACAACAGTTTTCAGGACCCAGTGTTAACC